AGGCGCAGCCCTTCATCGCTGTGCTCGGCCCGGCGTGGTCCCTGCAGGCGGGCGTCACTGAACAGCGACCGCCTCCGTTGACCACTCGGCCCTTGGGTTTGCTTTTTGGTTTGTTTACACCGCGCACCTGGGGGAGGGTGGCGGCCTTACGAGGGCGCGGGCCACACCTGCGTGGAGGCCGCATCTGACAGCCGCTGCAGGGAGGGTGGATCTGGTTTGGAGCCGGGCCAGAAGAGGGGAGGGCCGGCCACCTAGTCCACCTTCCGATACGCGTTTCCCCGACTCCCGAAGGCCAGGTCCGCCTCGTCCATTCGGCGCGTAGCCTGGCCCAGACTCTCAAGAGGCTTCCCCACAGGGCGGGGCTGGGGGTGGGCTAGAGGCAAGTGCCCTGCCCACGCTGTTGGAAGCAAAGGCCCGGGGGGATGTGGTGATAATTCCATAATTGCCCTGCACCAGGCAAACCCCAAATCTGTGCTGCGCGTTAGCGAACCTCTTCACAGCGCTTGTGGGCACCGGTTCCCACCTCATGGGGCTTCCATCCATTACGCACGTTTCTGAGCTCCTGCTTGGTGCACTAGATAATACGGCACCAGTTTTTGAGAAAAGAGAAGGCTTTATTATTTTGAGGTCGATGGCCAAGGAGACGGGAGGCACGGCTCAAATGTGTCTCCCACGTCTGGGCTTAGGTCAAACTTGTTGGGTTAGGAAGGATAGGTTGGCACGCAGAAGTGCTGGCAGGAAGGTTTCAATAGGAGGCTTTAAACTTGGCCATTTATGGTAAAGTGTGGAATGGCAGGTTTCAGCACCAGATCTTCCAGGATGATGGACCCTTCCTTTCTGAAAGCGTTCTGCCACTCAAGCTCCCGTCATGTTCCTGTCTTCTTGACTCTTCAGGGAGGAAACGTTGGTTCGGAGTTATGATTTTCCTCCTCTGTGTATGCCCAGGTCACATGACTTTCAGTTTTGGCCCTGCTATACCTCCTGTTACCAACAGAATAGGATCAGTTTAGGCCAGCCCTGTGGTTACACACAACTTGGTGTCACAGGCTTCCCATTGCTAAGGGGCTGTGAAGTTCAGGACCGAGGTAATTAAAATTCAGCTCTATTATTGGATTGTCCTGGATTGTTTTACCAGTTGACAGGGATCAAGCTCTGTCCCAGGAACCTTGACCTCAACAGAGAACTGTTGCTCCTAGGACCTTCACCTCAGACCTCAGTGCATCCTGGTTTTTGTTTTTTTTTTTCCCCTCCTCCACAACTTTTTTATTTAGCAAATGTTCATACATTCATAAAGGTTGAAAGAATAATGCAATGTATACCTGCATGCCCTTCACTTAGATTTAACAGCTGACATCCTTTCTAGCACTTCCCTTCTGTGTCTGTCACTGTCTTTGTGTTTGAACAGCACAGTGTTTATTGAGTGCTTGTGCTAAGCACTAAATGCTGGGGCTACATCAGTGAACAAGCAGCATGCCTAACCCATGCCTTCCTGGACCATACATGTGAATAGGGACAGCAGGCAATATGCAGAATAAATGTAAGAATGACCTAGTGTGTCCAGAGATAGTAACGGCTACAGAAGGTCTGGGCAGGTGCCAGTGTGTCTGCTGGTTCACCTGGGCTACATAAGGCAGCAGCTGCCGTATCTTACTCTGGCTCCTTCAGCTCCAAGACTAAAGGCTCCAGCTTCTCCTATAGGGCAGCACAGGGGTTTCAGCTCATCCTGGGCTCCAGCTTGAGGTCACAGACCCCAGCTTGTCCTTACTCTTAACATAGGTAATTTATGTATCTTTCATAAGTATACAGTTTTTTTTTTGAGACAGTTTCACTCTTGTTGCCCATGCAATGGCATGATTTTGGCTCACTGCAACCTCTGCCTCCCAGGTTCAAGCGATTTTCCTGCCTCAGCCTTCCAAGTAGCTGGGATTACAGGTGCCTGCCACCATGCCCAGCTACTTCTTGTGTTTTTAGTAGAGACAGGGTTTCACCATGTTGGCCAGGCTTATCTTGAACTGACTCAGGTGATCCACCCGCCTTGGCCTCCCAAAGTGCTGGGATTATAGGTGTGAGCCACTGTGCCCAGCCAAGTATACAATATAAACAACATGCACACAGACACATAGTCTCATAGTTGTTATGGCAAACATTAAGCTTCTACTACTGAGTCTAGGGTTACCACTGAGTACCCAGCCATCAGAGTCTGTGTGGGTGAGCAGGTCCCTCCTGCTACAAAACTGCTCCCATCTGGTTCCTGGAGAGGGCGATCTGTAAGATCTGACTTGAGAATACTTCATCTACTGTTTCTATGCGGTCATGGAATGGGGCACCTAGCTCTATGGGGAGCAAGGTAGCTGGGTTGAGGGTCTTTACAGTTTCTAAAGTTATGTGAGTTCTCACATAAGAACCCTTGGTACTGAGTCATTCTTGGGTCTGACAGACAGTGGTGTCCCCTTTGATCCATTAGGACCGAATGCTCACCCACACAGTCAGATGCTGCCCTAAAGTTAATCTGTCTGCTTCTCGTACTAACATAGCTGTGGCAGCTAGTCCCTTAAGGCAGGGAGGCCGTCCTTGTGCCACCACATCTAATTGTTTGGATAGAAAGGCCACCGGGCAGTGCCATGACCCTAGGACCCTGGTTAAGACTCTGATGGCTATTCCTTTCCACTTGTGAATATACAAATAGAAAGGCTTAGCCATGTCTGGTAGTCCTAGAGCTGGGGCCTCAGTTAAGGCTTGCTTTACCTGTTCAAATGTGTTCTCCTGCTCAATTCTGCAAAGGAAAGGCTCTTCCCCATACCTTTTGTGGTTCATATAACGGTGGCTTTGCTAAGAATGAGAAGAAACCCTATGAATGTAATGACTGTGAAAGAGCATTCTCTTTGGGATCAACCATTAAGAAGCCTCAGGGAACTACTACTGGTGAGCAACCCTACACACATGTAAAGAATGTGGAAAGGTGTTTGGTCAGCATCCAGCCTTTATTTGACATCTGGAGGTTCACACAGGGTAGAAATCTTATGAACATACTGGATGTGGAAAGCCCTCAGTAACAGTTCTACCCCCTTCACCATGGAAGAGCAGACTGATGAATGCAGTGTACAAATGTAGCAAAGACAATTTGCTAAAGGTCATTTAAACTACTGGACAGACTAGACCTTAGAGCAGTTCAGTTCCAGGATATAACTGTTGTGTGCTGTGACTGGAAAGTAAATTGTACTATACTATTTTTAGCTGGAAAACAGTAAATATTTTTCTGAAACATTAATCTGACCTTGCCTCTCCCTGCTTAAATCCTTTAATGGCTTCCCACATCCCATAGCAGCATTTCTCAAAGCTGCAAACAGCAGAGGTTAGTGCTCACTACATACCCCTAGTGAGTTTGAGATCAAGGGAGTAGGAAAGCAGGAAGAAAAGAAATAGCAGCCAACAGAGTTCGTGATAGGTGTTGTAAAGGCTGCTCTCAGAACAGACCCCACTGTCCTTAAAAGAAAAGGTTGGTTTGTGTCAATGGGCCAGAGTGGAACAGGCCCACTGAACAGGAGTATACCTGGAAGATCCCTGAGTCTTCTGCATGAGTTGCCACTAATGCCCACAATGTTTCTGAAAGAGAAGGCAGGTGATGGGTGTGGTGGTTCATGCCTGTAATCCCAGCACTTTGGGAGGCCGAGGTGGGTAGATTACGAGGTCAGGAGTTCAAGACCAGCCTGGTCAAGATGGTGAAACCCCATCTCTACTAAAGATACAAAAATTAGCCAGGCATGGTGGTGGGTGCCTGTAATCCCAGCTACCGGGGAAGCTGAGGCAGAGAACTGCTTAAACCCAGGAGGCAGAGGTTGCAGTGAGCCGAGATTGCACCACTGCACTCCAGTCTGGGCAACCATATGTGTTAGCTAACTGCCTTTATCCAAAGTTAAAATAAACCTCATATCTCTATGACAAGCAGGTAATTACAACTTGGACACAGCCACCTGCCAAACTTCCACAGAGACAGGGAGGGAGGGGAGCTATCTTCCTTGACCTTTATATTTCAAAAGAAATTGCTCCAAGGTCCTTAAAAAGGACATTTCTGGTTTGTAAAACTGCCAAGAGGCTTATTTAGCTTTTTAAAAAAATTTACATACATCTCAAGAGAGCAAAGAAAGATTTTCCTATTACAAAGTTTTCTAGAAGAAATGATCTAAATAAAGGGAGAGGAGTGTGTCTTCCCTTTGGCACCATGAAAAATTCGATTAAAAAAAAATATTTAGGGCCAGGTGTGGAGGCTGACAACTGTAATCCCAGCACTTCGGAGGCTGAGGCATGTGGATCACTTGAGCTCAAGAGTTCAAGACCAGCCTGGGCAACGTGGCAAAACACCATCTCTACCAAAAAAAAAACAATAACAACAAAAAAAAAAAAACCAGGCATGGCGGCGGGCACCTGTGGTCCCAGCTATTCTGGTAGCTGAGGTGGGAGGATTGCTTGAGCCCGGGAGTTGGATTGTAATTGCACTATTGCACTCCAGCTTGGGAGACGGAGCAAGACCCTGTCCTGCCCTCACCCCCGCCCCCAAAAAAATTAAAGTAAAAAAGGTACAATGTGGTGGCGCGTTGCCTGTAGTCCCAGGTACTTCGGGAGGCTGAGGCAGGAGGATCGCTTGAGCCCGGGATGTCGAGGTTGCAGCCTGGGCGTCAGAGCAAAACCGTGTCTCTAAAAAATAAGATACCCTATGGCTCTCCCTACAACTCCTTATTCTCTCTCTCTCTCTTTTTTTTCTAACGGAGTCTCACGTTTCGCTCTGTCGCTCAGGCTGGAGTGCAATGGCGTGATCTCGACTCAGTGCAACCTCTGCCTTCCGGTTCAAGTGATTCTCCTGCCTCAGGCTCCCGAGTAGCTGGGACTACAGGAGCACCACCACGCCCAGATAATTTTTTATATTTTTAGTAGAGACGGGGTTTCACTGTGTTATCCAGCATGGTCTCTTGATCTACCCGCCTGGGCCTCCCAAAGTGTTTGGATTACAGGCGTGAGCCACCACGCCCGGCCTCATTCCCTGATGTCTTAATGCTCCCACTGTCCCGCTGACGACAGGCTGCTTTCCTTTCGATTTTGCTAAGTCCTCCCTCCTGGCCCGTGCTCCTCACCGGCCCGCGTGGTACCCGGCCTCTCCCCTCCCTCTGCTTCACCCCCGCCCGCCGCCCGTTCCGCACGCGCATCTCGGCAAGCGGTTGGTTCTCGAATTCCATCTCCACCGGAACAGGTCTGAAATCGTCCTGTACCTCGGCTTCCTCATTTGAGCCATGGCAGCAGCCTTCTCGAGAGGGAGGTAAGATCAAAAGACTACAAGTGAGAAGCGCTAGGTGCACAGTGGGCGCGAGCTGTATTCTGAGCTTCGTTACTACTTGGAGGTGAGGGGAAAGGCGCCCGAGAGAGGGGGACAGTGCGCGGTGAGACGTCCTAGGTCAGGAAAGGCCGGGCCCAGAGTCCAGGGAACAGCTTCCGGCCGAGGAGCGTCCGCAGGGATGCTCGTTGTTGGGTCCCTTCCTTCCTTTGCCGCTGCACGCAGCCGGCGACACCTCTGCGCCTGCGCCGTCCTACCCGGCGATTCCGCCGGAGGGCTTGTACCGACGCACCAGGAAAGAACAGAACTGCGGGAGCACAGAGTACTCTGAGCCGCCTAGAGCGGACTCACGAAACCTGTAATTTGATTGATTGGTGAGCTGAAGGGCGGGGCGGAAGTTCAGATTAGGCATTTCAGATCCACTGGGTTTGGGTTTCTGCGGCACGGGATTTAGCGTTTTTGCTCCTTCCCTTCCCGCAGTCGAGCTGAGTGAGTCCCGAGCGAGGGCGCCTGGTGCGGAGGTGCCAAAGCAGCGCTGGGGCGGGCAGGGACGGTGCCGGGGCTCAGGGGCTGAAGGACGCACGCCGCGGCCTAAGTGACCCGTGGAGGACGCGCGGAGGCCGGCCGCGGGGAGCGCCCGCTTTGTGTTGACCGAGGGGCGGGCAGGGCGAGGGTGGTGTGAGGCACCAGCGGAGGCGGCGGAGTGTGCAGGTCCGCGGGCTGTAGTCCACCCTCCCTAAGCAACACTGAGGCAGGGAAGCCAGATGGATAAAAAGGGGCTCACAGAGGAAGGGAGTTTTGGAAATGTCAGGGGATGAGCTGAATTGTGCTTTTTTTTTTTTTTTTTTCCAGAAGAGAGAAAAGTGCATTTCATCTATCGAGAATGGATTGATTGAAAGGGAGCTGTGGTGTGAAGGAGCCTCTGTTGAGGGGGAAGGAGAGGGAACAGGCAAGAGATGATGCTGGAACAAGCCCAACACTCAGTTATTCAGCAGGCACTTCGTAAATGCTGAATTACTGATTAAGACAATTAAGAATTAGTACTGTTTGCAGTTTGCTAATACTGTGCTGAGCATTTTATACATATTCTCATTTAACTCTCAAAATAGTCACTTAAGGTAAGGAGTAGTGTCAGTCTTATTTTACGGTCTGTGGAAAAACTCAAGTCACTTACCTGACACCTGTGCATTAGTAAGTGGTGGATCCAAGGTTAGAGCTCAGCTTTATTCGAGTCCAGAGCCCATGTGCCTCACAGCAGTGCTACATGAGTCTAGGAGTGAAGGCAGAGTACATTAAAAGGTACCACTTGTGATTCACGAAGGGCATAAGCATCAGGGGTCAGTCAAAGGCAATCCATGTCTGAGGACTGGAAGGCTGCCTCTGACCAAGGTGTGCCTCAGCTGGAAACTATGAAGACATCAATAAGCTTAGGTTTAGTGCCCAGTCAGAAAAGCTGGCCAACAGAGGCTTAAATGATGAAGATGAGACAGACGGCGTTTGTTCCAGAGTTTGTTATGAAATGCCGGGGCTCTCAAATGTGTCTCCAAGGTTCTCTTATCTTTCCTTTGTGGTCACTCCAGACAGGGGTGTTTCCCCTTACTTCCTCTTAACATCTTGGTGACGAGAACTGGGCCTTGTGGTCACCAGGGCTGAGGGAATAGGGCACATTTCCTCCTGAACTAAACTGAGGAATTTGTTTATCTGCAGAGGGCTGTGGGGAGGTTTATGCAGAGGACAAATGGGAAGGCCTTTCTGAGAATGACACATGTCAGTACTAAAATAAACCAGATCTGATTTGGATGTCAGCAGTGTACTGACAGTTTTCGGTATGTACCCAGCCAGCCCAAACTCTTACCTGAATTTTCAACTTGTATTTCCAAATGCCCTAATTTTCCATTTATAAATCTAATAGTTATCTTAAACATTACATATACAAGACAGCTTTTACATTTAATACTTCTGCAGTCTTACTCTTCTGAGCATATGGAAATTTCATCATTTCAGTTGCTCAGGTCAAAAATCTTGGTGTCTCATCCTACATGAAATTCCTAGGCAAATCCTATTGATTGCACCTTTGAAATGTATCCATAATCTGACTGCTTTTTGTCACTTCTGTCACCACTAGTCTGGTCCAAGGCATTCATCTGTAGCTGGATTGTTGCTAGAACCTTCTGACTGGTTTCCTGTTTTTGCTCCTCACCCCCATGCCATAGTCTGTTCAAAACACCCTCAAAGTAACAACTGTAGAAACCACATCTGAGGTCATAGCACTGTACCCAGACCTTCCAGGCACTTCCCATCCATTCAGAATAAAAGCCATACATAGCCCTATGGCACACAAGGTACCCACCCCAGAGGGTAACCACCCCTTTCACCCTCCCCGACTCTGTTTCAGCCCCCCTGGCTTCCTTGCCCTTCCTTGAACACATTAGGTGTGCTTGCACCTCAGAACCTTTGCACTTATGCTTCCTCTGCCTGGGATGTCCCTCCCTGATATCCACGTGGTGTCTGCCCTCATTCCACCCAGATCTCCGATTTGTTGTTACTTGATCAGAGGTGTCTCCCTGGCCATCCTTTGTAAAATATCTTCTACTACCAGTTGCTACCTTCATGCTGCTTCATTCATTCTTTGTATCCTTTCTTGTCACCTGACATCACCTGGGCATTGTGTTTGTGGGTCACACATATGTGTCAACTTCTCTATTTGCTCATTCACTGCCTTAGCACAAGAGCCTGGTCTGCTGTTCTCAGCTGTTTGCCCTCTGCCCAGGACCTTATATGTGGACCTGGGAAATGCAGTCCATTATCTCTCCTGGCCAAGTCCACTGCCAGGGTCCTGGCTTTCACATGGTAGCCTTGGGATGCTGTCATACCAGGGACCTCAGAAAGGCCTCTCTTGAGACATGGAGAGGCATGGCGGGGAAGTGGGGCGGGGATATGGTCTCAGAGGCCACTGGCTGCTTAGTTTATCCACCTTTCCTGGGGTGTTCAGGCAACTCACAATTGGGTCTCTGCTACCACAGAAGGTCTGGGCTTAGAAGTCTCAGAGCAGCTGTGGGGAGCAGAAGGTTGTTCAGGCTCCATCACCCTCCTCTCCCTGTGGCTCTGCCCACCACCTCAGGACAAGCTCAGAGACCTGGTGATGGCTGTCAAACAGCTCCTTCCTGGTGGGCTCCAGGTGAATGGTACTTATGGAGACTCTTCCATGTTACCTCAGCCTTTTCTCTGCAGGAGTCTCTCTGAGGGGCTAGTCCCAGAGGGTAGTAGACAGCTTCCTGTCTCCACCAATGTCCTCAGTTCCTGAATTGAAGGCCCTGAAACATGCTTCTCACTGTGTTTTCCTGTTCCTGGACCAGGTACAGTAGAGGTCAGGATTGGGGCACACCAAGATGAGCCAATATAGTGTCTGCCTTAGAGAGCTAACTTTAGTGAGAAAGACAGGTACATGTTCCCAGAGGAATTTTACCAGTCCTGAGCCTAGTGCCTTCTCCCTCCAGATCCTGACCTGAGCGCTGCAGCAAGGTCTTGTCATTCCACATCATGGTTTCCTTTGAGGATGTGGCCAAGATCTTCTCCCAGGAGGAGTGGGACTGTCTGATCCCTGCTCAGAGGGGCCTCTACAGGGATGTGATACTGGAGACCTATGGGAACCTAGTCTCACTAGGCAAGTTCCCTCCCTGGGGCTCAGCTCCTGGGCTTCCTGCTCAAACAATCTTGAGGCTCAAGCTTGGGGCTCAAAGCCTCCTCACTCCCTGCGCCCAAAGACCAGACATCTTGACCCTGGTACCATGCAGGTCTTGTCTGCACAGATAAGGAGCCAGGTGGTACTGGGACCCTCCCTGATTTGTTTTTGTTTTTGATAAGCAGTGTCTCACTCTTTTGCCCATCCTGGAGTGCAGTGGCAGGATCATAGCTCACCGTTACCTTGACGTCTGTGGTTGAAGAGATCCTTCCACCTCAGCCTCTCAAGTACCTGGGACTACAGTGGTGGGCCACCATACGTGTCTTATTTTATTTTATTTTTTAAAGACAGAGTCTCTCTATGTTGCCCAGGTTGATCTCGAACTCCTAGCCTTAAGGAATCCTCCCGCCTTGGCCTCCCAAAGTTTTGGAATTCCAGGCATGAGACAGCATGCCCGGTCAACCCTCCCTGATTTATGGAAGGAGAATATTATTCACTATACATCTAGGACATTTCTATCTCCTTGCATAAAGATAAATGCATTAAATATTAATATAAATATATATAATTATAAATTATAATTTATAATTTGTAAATTGATTATAAATTAAAAATAAATTAATCTTTATGCATCTTGAAGATCGGTGGTAGGATGCACAGTTTATAAATGAACCTGAGGCTAACAAATACTGTCACTTTCTTAGGTTTACACAGCCTTCTGGTGGCAGATCTGGGATTTGGATCTGTTCAGTATCAGAGCCCTGCTTTCCTTTCACTGGAATGTGCTCTTCCCTTTATCCCTTCTGTTGGGCATCAACACCTACTATGAGTCATCTTCCATGATGTGTTCGGGCCCCAACTCTGTCCTATCTATGCCCCTCGTCCCCCCGAAAAAGCTGGTTTTGACATTTCTTCAGCTCAGGCAGAGGCCTGTGTCTTTCTCCACTGTTAGAGACCAGGTATTAGGGAAGGTCACAACCAGCACACATACTCAGACCGCAGGTACATCTTGCCCTCTACCTGGGATGAATTTTCAGGTCTTGCTTCCCTTCTCTGGAGCAGGACTTCAAGCTTCCAAACCTGATGTTATCTCCAGGCTGGAGTAGGGGGACGATCCATGGACCTCACACACCCTGAGAACGCAGTGGATCTGGAGCTGGAGGCACAAGAGAGAAGGCGAGTGTGCCCCCACTGTCTGCTTCTGTGATAGGTGCTTCAGCTTTACTCACAAATCCCTTCTTTGCAAGCTCCAGACAAATTTCTTGTTATCCTCAGGCCTTTGCTTTCCTCCATTTTTTTTCTATCAAAATTTTCCTATTTTCTTGCTGTTACTTGCCTCTGTTATCTGTCCATCAGTAGGTTTGCGTTTTATTTACTCTAGAAGATGTTCTTTCAGCCATAAAAAAAAAAGAGCTCAGGTGTCCTTCCCTGGCAGCTGGCTCCCAGTCCCTTCATTTGCATGTCACCCACTCCTTAGGCTGTTTGGGAAAAACGCTAACTACATTTTTCCTCTTCTCTGACACCATAACAACAATCAACAAAGATTTCATGACCAAATATATGGAGAGTTTTTCCCATGCACCAAGCAGCTCTAATTCAATTCAATTCTGGTGCTCTCTTCTTGGAGATAGCCTCAAATTCCTCAGGCTGAGGGCTCAGTCTCTGAGACTCCCCTCAAGATGCTAGTTATTAAGTGTGGGCTTTCCAAACTTCTGATCAACTGGATTCAAGTTGGGGTTCCCATGACCCTCACTTTGGGTTCTATTAATTTGCTGAAGCAGCTCACAAAACTCAGGGAGACACTTAGATTTACCGGTTTAGGTTGGGTGTGATGGCTCATGCTTGTAATCCCAGCACTTTGGGAGGCTAGGCAGATCACTTGAGGTCAGGAGTTTGAGACCAGCCTGGCCAATATGGTGAAACCCCATCTCTATCAAAAAATACAAAAATTAGCCAGGCATGGTGGTGTGCATCTGTAGTCCTAGCTACTTCGGAGGATGAGGCACGAGAATCGTTTGAACACAGGAGGCAGAGGTTGCAATGAACTGAAATCACGCCACTGCTCTCCAGCCTGGGTGACAGAGTGAGACCATGTCTCAGAAAAAAAGATTTGCTAATTTATTATAAAGGATAAAGACAAAGAAATGTGTAGGCTGAGGTATGGGGGAAGGGCTGTGGAGCTTTCATGCCCTCACTGGGTGCATCATCCTCTAGAAACCTATGCATTTAGCTATCAGCTCTCCGAACCCTGTCCTCTTAGGTTTCTATAGAGGCCTTATTATGTTGGTATGATTGATTAAACCATTGGTCATGGTGATCAACTTAATCTTCAGCTCTGGTCCCCTTCTCTGAGTTTGGGACATTGGGGCTGAGAATCCCAACCCTCTAATCATGCCTTGGTCTTACCAGTAACCAGCTTCATCCTAATACTGTCAGTCAGCATAAGCCTGTGAAAAGACAGCAGTTTGGAGATTACAAGGATTTTAGGAGTTGTATGCCAGGACATG